GGAACTTATACAACTTAACAAAAAGAAGACAAACATCTAATTTAAAAATCTGCAAAGGACCTAAGTAGACACTTCTCCAAAGTAGACATATAGATGGCTAAGAGACATATGAAAAAATGCTCAACAAAGTCACTCATCAGAGATGCAAATTAAAATGACAATAAGGTATCACCTCACACCTGTCAGTAAGGCTACCATCAACAAGTCAACAAATGACAGGTAATGGCGAGGATGTGGGGAAAAGGGAACCCTAATAAGCTGCTGTGGGATTGCAGACTGGTGCAGCCCTTATGAAAACAGTATGGCCGAACCGGTTTGGTTCAGTGGATAGAGCGTCGGCCTGCGGACTCAAGGGTCCCAGGTTCGATTCCGGTCAAGGGTATGTACCTGGGTTGCGGGCACATCCCCACTGGGGGCTGTGCAGGAGGCAGCTGATCGATCTCTCTCATCGATGTTTCTAACTCTCTATCCCTCTCCCTTCTTCTCTGTAAAAATTCAATAAAATATATTTAAAAAAAAAACAGTATGGAGTTTCCTCAAAAAATTTAATATGGAACTGCCATTTGACCCAGTGATCCCACTTCTAGGAATATATCCTAAGAAACTCAAAACATCGATCAGAAAGAATGTATGTACCCCTATGCTTATAGCAGCAGAATTTCCAATAGCTAAGATCTGGAAAACAACCCAAGTGTCCATCAGTAGAAAAGTGGATAAAAATGCTGATGTACATTTTTACCATGGAATACTATGCAGCAGTAAAAAGGAAGAATCTCTTCCCTTTGATACCTGGAGAGTATCATACAAATATCACTGGGTCTCACTCACATGTAGAATCTAATTAACAAAATAAACTGATGAGTGGAGTGAATCCAGAGACATGGAAGCATGGAACAGAGTGCGGAATCTCAGAAGGAAGGCACGGGAGAGTGAGTGGGTGGAAGGTAATCAACCAAAGTACTATATATATATGATGGTAAAGACCTGGGGCAGGGGGCTTGGGCAGGCTGGAGGAAGTTAATGGAGGTGGGGGAGGATACATATATAATACTCCCAACAATAAGGATTTAAACAAACGAACAAACAAAAAAGAACAAAAGGAAGAGCAGTTTCTTTCTATGGAAAAATAATTTAGAGTGACTCACAATGGTTATTACTTAACACCTTCTCTAACAGTGGACAGACAACACATATTAACAAGTATTTACATCAGTAAATAGTTAACTTGCTTCCTAAAATACATCAAACATTTTGATATTATAGTAAGAGAGTCACTTGAGTAAGTCAGGTCATAAACACCCGAGGTGCCTAGATGTCCCTGGAGGGATGAGATGCTGTGATCAGCCACCATCGAGAGCCTCTTGGTGTCCAGATGCTGGGCTGGTCCCTCTGTGTCCTCAGCTCCTCATTTTCCCATCGCCCTGAAGGCAGGCCCTGTGTGGTCTCACTTAAGGGATGAGGCTGAAAGAGAAACCCAGCTGTTCAAGGACACACAGGGGGAAAAGGCAGGGCTCATCTCACCATTCACAGACTGATTAATTTTAGCATCTATGTTCTCTATCCTTGAGCCTTAGTGTCTGGTTCTGTACAAAGTGGATCAAAATACCACCCTGATAAGAGGATCGAGGATGTATGTAACAGAGCCTGGCAGATAGAAGGTGCTTAATATATAACACTATGATTTATCATAAGACTTGGTCTTACTAGTTCTGAAACACCCTATTTGATCTTTAGGCAGTAAGATTGCAAAATAAAAGCAGAGTGGAAACAGCAAGAAAAGTCTCAAATCCTGCTCCCTGCAGCTGCCATGCTAAAGCCACATGATGAAGAAAGATTAGACAACACAGCATCCAACAATATACAGGGGAGAAAGGACTGTGTCTTCATAAAAATGTCCACAGAATAATGTTAGTACGAAGTAGGTACTCTATGAATGTGAAGAAAGAGGTTCCTTTATGTCAATGAAAGAACTGGATTTTTTCATTTTACCTATATGTGATTCATACCATAAAATTTAGCCTTTCACATGAAACATTAGTGGGTTATTATATATTCACAATTTTGTAAAATCCTCAACTCTTACTTCAGAATATTTTCATCACCTTCAAATGAAATCCCATACACTCTAGCAACCTCATCTTTACCCCATGGAAACTACTTGTGTAATTTTGGTCTCTATGTATGTGCCTATTCTGGAAACTTCATGGAAATAAAATAATAAAGTAATATGTGGCCTCTGGTGTTCACCTAATTTCAATGAAAATGTTTTCAACTCTCATCCATCGTGTTACTTGCAACTTGGTTCATTTTAATGGCTGAATAGTTATATTTTGCCATAAGAAAAATTTTTAAATCTTACTTTTAGACTATTATAAACAGTGCTTCTAGGAAAATTTATTTAGGAGACTTTTGTTTGTTTGTTTTAGTGTACACACATTTTAAATTACCTTGGGTGTACGTACATGGGTGGAATTGTGTCATAATGATAAGATACTCAACTTTATCTTTTTCGAGGACCTGCCAAGCTCTTCTCTAAAGCAGCTACACCATTTTATATTTTCACCTGCAATGCACAAGGCTTTCAATTATTCCACTTTTTCATTAACAGTTATTTTTTATCTTTTTCATTTTAGTGATTTCACAGGTGTAAAGTGGCATCTCACGGTTTTGTTTTGCATTCCCTAATAACTCATGATAGTAAGCATTAAATTTTTTTTTTTGTCCATTGGTATATCTTGGTTTGAGAAATATATATTCTTGTATTACGAATGGTTCTTAACAACAGCAACAAAAAGAATGGTTCTTGCACTGAGTCCTTTCATCTGTTTTGAATGAACTTTTATATATGGTGTCAAGTAGGGGTACACCTGTATTCTTTCCATGTAGATATTCAGTTGTTCCATCTATTCAGTATTTTTGAGCATCAAATTTTAAAAATATAATCAAAATCACACTTTCTTTAAGATGAAAAATTTAAGAACCAATGGACCATGGAACCAACATAGTCACGCTGATTTGAGATTTTTAAACTTTGAAAACATAGAACTAGTACTCTGAGGGATTGTAACAATCTGTATTTTGTCAGGAAAACATACATGTAATTATTTGAGAGGTAGAAACTTGAGCACTGAGGTGTATGAAAGACTGGGAAATTATATCCAAAAGCAAAAAGTGCGAGGAGAAGCCAAAGATCATGGATATGTCTGAGAGTTATTGCTTCTGGCTACCTTAAATTAGAACCAATGGGGAGGTTTACAGAGTCTTTATCAGGTCATGGGGTTCTCCTGAAAATGACATTTCTGCTTCCTTTTTGCTTTTTTAATTCAATACATGTTTTTCTCATTGGCAAACATGGGGTTCTGAAAATGACATTTCTGCTTCCTTTTTGCCTTTTTAATTCAATACATGTTTTTCTCATTGGCACATTTCAGTGAAAATCATCCAGAATTTGAAAGCAACAATATTGGCCAAAGCAGACTAGGACAAGGGGTAATGGGATAAGTGACAGAAAGATCAAAAGCGTGTGGTGAGGCTGAGAAGAAAAAATATGTTTGGACTAAGGGCTTTACAAATAGCACCCATATACTGGGGAATAGAAGTACCTGGGTAAAGACATTAGCTGTCTCCTCTTGCTCTGCACAAACAGAAAGTGAAGGTGAAGACAGTGTGGCAGATGGCATGGCTGAATGTTTGATCAACTGTCAAAACTCAGAGCCAATCTGCAAATACTGGGAGAGCAACTTACTTTATTTCCTCTTTCCTTTCTGTCTTGGCTCCAGTCACTCAGTGAAATCTCTGTGAAACATGACTACTAAGTTAATGGAAGAGAAACTACACTGACCACACAATGTAATGAAGACAGGCTTTACAAAACCACTGTGAAAAAGCACTAAACTAATTACAGTCCACAACACGTAGCAGCAACAAACCTGAAAGAGGAGATTCTGATTTCTAGATTTCCACATTATGTTATTTAAAGTGTCAGTTCTCAAGAAAAGCTAGAAGGAATGAAAAACACAGAAAAGTGTGGCTAAGTCACAAGGATAAGGAAATTAAGAGACTGTTTTGAGGATGCCTGAACATTGGTCTTCAAGCTGAAATGAAAAATATTTGTTAGTAACATGAGAGTATAAAAAAGCAAGTGTAAAATTAAGTGTAGAGTCAAATTCAGAAAAATACAGTATATCAGAATCTTTGAGCATGCTTATTCTTATTGTTATAGGATTTGAGTGTTTTTTAATATTCTAATATATTTGTATTTGTTATTTTTAACTTTTTGGTGTCATAATCGGTAGTGACAACATTGAACTTTACGTGAGCCCTCTCATCTTGGCACCCAGCAGCTGTTAAAGAAGTTCGCGCAAGGCTTTGTGTTGGTGAAAATAGAAATGCCCTTTCTTATATTACTTAGATAGGATTGTGGGCAACACCATTGCTTACCTGGAACAAAGCCAGGCACAAACCTTACCAATGCCATTTTTCATCTTATAATTAGCTGAACTGGTTGTCTCCATTGATCAGTTGGAACAAAATGCTGTGACATGACTAAATCACACCTAATCAATCTTCTCTCCATCTCCCCAGATCCCTGAACTGTGGCTCATCCTTGAACAGTATAATTAGGAAAAACCCCTCCTTCTAGATCAGGCAAACTCAGGGTAAAAGGTGTTCACAAGGGTGGGTTAGGCTCCCTGCTCATCCACTCCCCCACCCCCTGTCCTTTCTAGCCTTGTGGACCACTCTATAAAAAGAAAAGCCCTTTCTGTCTGGTCTTTGAGACCCTTTTAAGTCCCATGGTCAGAGCATTCTCCCTACTGAAATAATCTTTTGTATAGTCTCTCTTTACATAAACCCAGATTTTTTTTAGTTGACAGTGTTAAATATGTGTTCCATGTGTGCTTAAAAAAATATAGTCTTGCCTGGCCACTGTGGTTCTGTGACTGAGTGTTGATCCATGCACCAGAAGGTCACCAGTGTGATTCCTGTTCAGGGCACATGCTGATTTCAAGCTCATTCCCCAGCAGGGGGCGTGCAGGAGGCCGCTGATTGATGTTTATGTCTCTCTCTCTCCCTTCCTCTCTCTCTAAAAAAATAAATATACAAAGATGAAAAAAAAATATCTCTCTCTCTCTCTATATATATATATATGGTCTGTGATTTTGTGATATAGAATTTAACTCACCAGGTCAAACTAATTTTTATGCTTTTCAGTTTTTTGAAGCCTTCAATAATTGTGAAGATTTTAATAACCTAATAATTTGCATGTTTTATAACGATAGTACAGGGAGACACATGTCAAAAACTTCCAGTGATTAAGGAAATACTCTTTTTATTCATGTGAATACTCCTTTTATCCATTTCACTCCCTTGTAAATTTTATAAGCAGCAAAACTCCCCGTGAACAACATGGATGCTTGACTTTGATCTGTAATTGGGTTTTCTCCAACAGTTCTGAGTTTGATAAAAAGTTCATGTGAAAATGGGAGCCTGTGTTGAAAGCTCTTTTGTGGCAACATGGTTGGTTGGTGATATTACTACAGACAGTAAATCTACATAATCTACCTTGTCAAGATCGTCAAATCTAAGCCGAACACTGTATTAAAAACACATATCTATGCTGGAAGCCAATGCCTGGAATGGTTTGATAAAAAGATGAGGTTAAGCTTTCAGTTACCTCAGGCTTAACTATAGAGATCAATATTGAGTAGCATAGTATAAGTGTAATCAAGTCAAGAAATATTTCAAAATGGTTCCTTAGTTTCATAACATGGAAGAATCCTTCCTAGTATCAAAACTGACATTTGCAATAGAGATAGGGAAAGTTTCAATCCATTCTTCATTAATGAACAAATATCACAGTTATACATACTAGAGAAAAAATTATTTACAAATATAATGAATTTGGGCTGTCTTTAGAAAGATGAATCTTCAGTAAGCATGAGAATCTCCTACGTGGGGAAGGTATCTTACAATATAATGCACTGGACAATGTATTTTACCAAGAGTTGAACTTTACCAAACTTTAGTAAATATACATGTAAAAGAAATCTTTTAATACATTGTGTGGCAAAGTTCTTATCCAAATGTCAACAGTTGGGGGATAATCATGATATTGAGTTTGAAATGAAATCTTACACATTTTATGAGTAATGATGTTCAAACTTTACAAAATATTAGGTAAGTCAAATGTAATGAATGTCAAAAAAGGCATAACCTGGGGAAACATCACATATGAATATGCTAAAGGAGAGTTTATCCAAAATGCCTTGACCTCATCAAAAATTCTTACTGGACAGAAATGTTGCACATATAGGGATTTGAGAGAAAAATGTAATTCATGATGGATATGATGTCATAGATATTGCTTTAAAGTTTCTTGAAGGTTTGAAAGACCTCTAGAAATTGATTAGATTGTTTTACTTTATGGTTCATTTGAAAGAGGATAGACATCTTTACTAAATGTCTTTAGAAATATTGCAAAAATTTCTATAAGGTAAAAGCAAATTCTATTGTCTCTGTTTTTTAAAAAATAAATATATTTTTATTGATTTCGGAGAGGCAGGAAGAGGGAGAGAGATAGAAACATCAATGATGAGAGAGAATCATTGATTGGCTGCCTCCTGCACACGTCCAGGCATGTACCCTTGACCGGAATCGAACCAGTCCACAGGCCAAAACTCTTTCCACTGAGCCAAACCAGCTAGGGAAAATTCTATTGTCTTGTAACAGTACATTTATTTTACAGGGTTTATTATCCACATCTTTGAGAACTTCATAAGTAGGAAACAAGCAAAAAGCTAAAATATAAAAAGTACATAAAATACTCCTTTTTTGCATAAATATAAATTTGAAATTGAATTATATACAGAAGTTAGTGACAAATTAATTGTTGTCCGAAAAATTTATCTTGCATATTTTATTATTATTATTATTATTATTATTAGGGATAAAGAAGTTCATTTCAAAATGATAAAGAGATGAATTCTTCAGGAGTACAGAATTCTGAACATTGTGCAATCAAAACAGAAACTCTAAACAGGTGGAGTAAAAACTGACAGAACTCTACAGAAAAACATAACAATTCACAACTATAGCTGCATATTTTTTTTTAAAGCATGGATGGTGACCTAAAT